CGATCCAAATAGTTAGAGCAAAATAATGACAGATTCTTTGATTGAATGATTATATTATAAATTTAACCATCATAAGTCGCTCGCTTTGCTCGCAATTTATCACTCCAATTTCATCTATTAGGTAGGTACTATTCAGCAGTAGCGTATCCAGTGGGGGGGGGGGGTTAGGGGGTTATAACTGACAATCCGTACTATTAAGTCTATTCTAGAATACGATTGTATTTATTGTTAAATGTACCGCTTAAAACAGCACATATTAATAATAATATAAATTATATTCGAGTAAAATGTCTCATGCTTTATCATAAATCAATAATCATACAGACTGAAAATGATAATTATAAATTAGGTATTAATAATTACCTATTTACCTTACTTATTGCTTACCTACTTCATAGTGGTTTTAAAAAAAAAAACACTTAATATCAATTTGAAGCATAGGTATATAAATATAGGTTTAATTATTTAAATATTAAATATATTATAAAAATTAAAGAAATGTAAAACAAAAACCAGTTTATTTCATTTTTTAAACAACTATCATTTAAAAAAAGATGTTTCAAAAATGTTTCATAGAGCTATTGGCTTAAAAGATGATTAAATAAAAAAAAGATTGTTTAAAAGATGTATTTGCATGCTGTATAATCACTTTTAAACACTGAGAACCGAGAGGCGTTTAGCTTCAACATATGTGCGAAATAGATATAAATGTCAATGTACGTCTTTATACTTGATATCGTACAAAAACATGCATTGATAGACGAATTGCTCTATCGCATCATAGTATCCTACCATATATAGATCGACTGTCACTTAATTTGTATATTCCTAAGATTTACTAACTAGAGTGTAAATTAATCCACACAACCCACACCCACCCAAACACCAGACACTCACCACCATAGTCAAATGAAGGGGTGAACTGCCCCATAAAAGTACGTGTTCGGCGCTATTGGTTGGAAATAATAAATGTTGAGAAAATAAAATGTATTGTTTCATAGTGATAATGACATCACCATCTAAGAAGTCATTACAGTAATGCATAATAAATTCTCAATATTATCAAAATATTTCTTATTAGCTTTGCACAGCATATGTTATTGTAATATAAGCTATTGAATTTCAATATTTATTATGAGGTTTTCATTATTTTCAGAAGGATAGAAATTTTATATTTAAGTAGGTACTTATGTAGAATTTGTTGTGGATTGAAGAATTATATGTTTACCATGATTTTAAGAGCTTTAATTGAATAATAAAAGAACAATTGATAAAATACATAACTCAAGAAAAATGGGCACATAGGAAAAAGCATATAGTACTGAAGTAATTGGACGTTGTAAGTTACGATTTGGAGTCGACAAAATTATCCCACTTAGAATTGCAATTGTGGAATTGAAGATATAAATACTGATTTTAGAATAATATGTTTACCTACCGTTCTCAAAACCTTTTTAAACACTATCGTTGATTACTTTGAACGTGTTTAATAATCAATCGTTGTTAAGACAATTTAATCCTCTGTAGATGAAAATTGGAAATGTAGTAAGACACATTTTGAGTTAATGGAAGTAACTAATTTGAATTCTGTTTTCACTGTTTGTAGAATATATGTTCTTATGGTTTATTCTTATTGATTATTTCAGTATAAAGGAAAAAAAAACAATTAAAAAAACCTTTCACAGTCGCTTTTTTTTTATTCTTAGGGTATCATTACCGCAACAACCGTTTAATGACCAATATTATAATCAAACAAAAAATGTAAACACTTTTTTTGCGTTTAATTGTACATCATTTATCATTCATAGTGAATTCAGAATTCAAATGTATATATTACCGGTTTTAAAGTTTTCTCAGTTTGGGACAAGATTTGCTATTCGATACTCTTCGACAGTTGGTTCATATTTTACGAAAAAAATCGACTTTATAAAGGTTCTGTTGTACAAAATAAGCCAGTGTCACTCTGTCCGGTATGTTGATGTTGACCCAAGGGAATTTGATTTTCTTATCTTTTCCACCTCACTTTTCCATGCTTTTAATTTAGGTTCGACGTGTACTGCATATGTGTGTAAGTTATAAACTGTATGTTTTTATACGGGAATATATCATTGTTGCTACAATTTATTGATGTTGGTATATTTGAAATTAATAGACCCAAGAACTACTGGACCGATTTTTTACTGCCATATCTCAAAGCATCTTATACCGATAAATCAGGATAACAAGCTTACTTAGCCTATTAGCGTTGACCAAGAAACGCCACGAATAGGTTGGTTGTATAGTTTTCAAAAAAATTGTTATAAGATATGTACATTATGTACAACTACAGAAAAAATAAAACATCGTAGGGTAGACGATTGGCTACCTTGATTATACCACGTAATAATCTTAATAATTTTAGATTATCATTGGGTATGTATTGCACAGGTTAGTAAAAGTTTTTAAATTCATTTTTATGTTCTCATATTTTTTTTTAAACGTTCATCACGTAGGTATGTGGTACGGTATTGTAATCCTTAAAATTTATATTTAATTGATTTAATTGTTTATTAATGTAAGATTACTATGTAAAGCTTACCATCGACAAAAAAATAGTTGAATTTCGCTTTGTTCCATCATTAATCTTAAATAATTTTTTAAACTGTTTTGTTGGGTAAATATAATTAGGTACATCTTTGATTGATATATTGATTAATAAAAATATGATATATTTTAACTAGTCTTACTATTTACTATAATGGCTTATACATGAAATAAAGCGAGTTCAGATGTTTATTTTTGTTTTTTAGGAACTTGTTCATTATTTAAAAGAACGACTAAAGGACAAATTCCATTATTTTAAAAAGCGAAGAACGGAACGAATTACCTTTTAAGAAACGTGGCAAATACTAATGATTGCATCCCTGATTATTAATTATGTGGAACGTTAAATGTATCTACCAATAAAAATTTAAAAATACCCGTAACAGTCAATCAAAAATTTTATATTGGGATTTTTCAAAATGTCCATCGGTTTTGAAAATGGCGGTAAGTATCCGTTCTGGCTGTTCTGTGGCATAAGTGCTTTACAATTAGACTTTAATCGATCGATTGTAAATCTTACACCAGCAATGCTTTAGGGACGTAATGATTTGTTTGATAGTTTATACAAATATAATAAAATAAATAAAAATATAATTGCGAATAATTATTGATTCGATAACACTACGAAACGCCTAGTCATCCTCATCTGATTAATGATTGAAATGTTGACAGTAGTTGGACTCGAGTCCACGCGTTTTCGTCATAATTGTTTTTTATAGCTTTAAAACTTAAAATACAATAATACAGTATATCAATTGGTTGGAGTTACAGAGAAAGCGAATAGACACCAATGTAATAGCAAGTTTTTTATGTCTCTGTACCTGCCTGTATACTGTTAGAACTGAGTTTATTTTGGAGGGAAAGAGGAATTTATTATCAGTATACCTAAATTTACTTAATTGTGAAACAAAGTATAAAAGTTAATACATGATTCTTTCGTCCTTTAAAATTTGAGTTTTTTTTTGTTTTTAGGTATAATAATACTTTACAATACTTATACAATAATTTAAAACCGAACATAGCGTTAACTGTTAAATATTAGTTATACTATAAATTGGCCAGTGGTGGTTGCCCAGTTTATCCTAATAAATAGCCATAAACTTTTTTTTTTTTTAATTATTAATAAAATTGAAAAATTCTTTTCACTCGTTTCCAGAAATGTTCTTAAATTTATCAGAGTACTATTGATTAAATAAATTTGACGATTGATGGTTTTTAAGAGTCTTTAAGTAGTATAATAATATGTTCATTGGCACAACTTAAAACATCGGTGAAATCGTGAAAACCTTATCATACGATCAATTATTAATTGAATGTATAATACTGTTTGCATTTTAAATATACCAATAAAAGATTTATTACCTACTCCACGTTTTAAATTTCTACAAAAAATTAATATATAATTTTCTTAAGAATTAATGTTCCCCGTGTTCGTATGGGCATTATAGTGAATTGCAAAAATTTAAAAATTTTTCAATGCTATCCCTAACACAATTACAATAACACAATTTGGGTATTGGGTTTATGGATATATATTTTAGACATATGTTGGCGATGAGAATTGTAGATGTCCACAAGTTAGTAAACCACAACAACTTCCATTGCACTATCTTGAAAAATTCGCATGGATTAAAAGTTCTTCGGACTCCTCCGAGTTGTTAAATGAATACAAAATAAACAGACAATGCAACCAACAGTTTCTTTTAATGTATACAATTTTATTTTTATAAATAAATTAGTTATACATACATTTTAGGTAGGTAATGATAACATTTTGGAAAAAACACTTAGTAATTATTATTATTATAAGTTTTATCAGATTCAAAAACATACGTTTTGTTCCATTTTTATTCTTAACTTTACACAAAAATAATATTAATTATAATAGTATACTTCTAAATGCTTAAATAATATACCTACCTATATAATATAATATCTTACTTGGTATATTTTATATAATAGAGTGATGATGAAAAAAATTATAATTATAATAAAAATGAGAAATCTTAATTGCCCTAATAGTGTCTTTAACGATTAAAAATTAATCTTAATTAAGAACATGAAAAGAAAAACTAACTAAAATAATCATAAATGAATAACAAGCGAGACATACAATGTATTGGAAGCTGTATATAAATCATTATGTAACCATTATTTATAGTTTTATTTTGTTTTTTTACTGTAATTTGTATTTGATAACTTCTTGAATATTATTATTTTTTTTTTTTTTTACTGTTTTATTGTCATTGTTACAATAATTGTGTTTGTAAAAAAAAAAATTAATAATAATAATAATAATAATAATAAAATAGGTACTTAAAGAAAATGAAAATGTGTATACTATATTTATTTAAATGTTAGATTTTTTTTTTTTTATTACTGTATTGTATCATAATAATTATTATAATCCAAATATCTAACTATAAATATACCTAACTTAATAATGCTGATGGTACTATATAGTTAAAAAAAAAGCACTAGACAAAGGTCAAAAGATAATTACAATGTACACGTTTTGGGTATTATTTAAATTTTTCAAAATATTGTGTATATGGTGTCCAACGAGACTAATGAAAACAAGCATGTTTTGACTAGAACGGTGGGTCAGGAATTTTTGTTCTCAACTTTTTGTATAGTTGGTAAAGGATATGTTTTTTTTGTTTGTTTTGATGGAAGGAAAATAAAATGGCACTTTTGTCTAGAAATATATTATGGTCCTTACTACATATACGCATAAAATTACGTTAATTTTGTATTCAATCAGATCTATTTATGTATAACTATATGTATATATAAATATACATATATATATTCATTTATATATATATATATATATTTATATATATTAATATGTACTTATTAGTATCATGCACATCCATATTTATGTAAACTTTTATGTATATAGATAAATGGTTAAAAACGCTGCTGAGTGGTTAAAATCGTTTCCTTAAGTACGTATATCTCGCTATGTGGGCTATAAATTTTCCTCTGGAAAAAAAATACCTTAGTTAATTATTTTCATAGCATTTAGGGCAATGGTGTAGTGATTACTCACTTATTGATCTTTGACTTCGAAGTATTTGTATGTGGGATTCTCGTATCCGTTTATTTGCATGTTAGCCACGTGACGCTCCTCCTGGGATATTCCTTGATCGACTTCAATGAATCCCTGCGTATATATTAAAACGGAGAGTTAAATAAGAGATTCTGCAACTATAGTAACAAGAGTTTTAAAGAAGAGAGTACAGCGACGATAGCGTACCTGATTTTGTGGCAATCTGGCGTTTCTTCGGCGTATCACGGCCACTCCGATACAGATGGCGGCCATCAGCGACAGTCCAGCAAACGCCAATGTCAGATGGACATTTCTAGAATCTCGGTGAAAGTTCTTTCGGGTGAAGAATGTCTGTGAAGAAAAGAAAAATGGATTAGTTTGTTTAATTGATTACTCAGGTATGGACTTAAAAGATATTTCATATTTGTCACTATTTTTCTTATTATATTTTCTCCAATCCCACTGGTGTCAATAGTATCTAACATGATTGAGCGATGAACAACGATGACGAGTCCATGAACTGACAACGAAAACTGTCACCTTGACAACGTTGTATGAAATCAAGAAGGATATGGTGAGACTGTGTTTAAGGACCGAAGAAGATAAACGGACAAGTAGAGTGAAGTTTGTGTGGAAAATCGGAAGAGAAAATGTGTTGTAGATATGATTATCTATACATGTATATATATATATATATTATGAAATCACCCTCAAAGATCATATATATGTATATATATGGCTTGGATAAAGTTTTTTTCTTCTTCTTTAGTCACAATATACATTACCGACGTATAAGAAAAGGTATTAGTTATTTTTTTAAGTTTTATCAGAGAGTGAAACATTTACAACATTTTCGTGTTATTTCACGTAAGTATCAATAAAATAAAACTTAAGTTAATATAAAAATCTTGAATAGAAATTGATACTGATTTTATTTAATTCAAGTAAAAAAAAAAAAAATTAAAAGTGAGCTAAAAATAATAACTATAATATATACAAAGAATTTTTCAAAATTCCTTAAGAAGATTGTAATGCTTTTTTTTAAATATAATATGAAATAGTTCTGCTATACATATGTATTATATGAATGGATAATATATAAACATATAAATTCCTTGGACCTGGCAACTACACAGATCCTTAATACCTGAGTTGTAATGTTTATTTATTATGATGTTTTGTGATTTCCTTAATAATCATTGGAATGCAGATTTACATTTTAGAGTAGTCCGAGTAATTTGAGTTATCAAAGTGATATAATCAAGGTATCGTATGTACTTTTACATTATTTTTGTTATTGTTATTTATTAGAATAATACTGATTCTTTATTTACATTTTTCAAAAATACATATGCCCGAAAAGCGGAAAGGTGAAGCACAAATGATGTATGGTAAAAATAATAAGTTGTTGTCAACTTAAGCTAGTGTTCAAATTTAACGGGATTATTTTCCAAACTCCAGAACTAACACTAATCATATGCACTTGTGTTCTTATACAATTTTTTTTAAACAATAATTAGTCGTCAATAATGTCTAACGAATGTCAAAATCAAGCCTGATTACCGGTACAGTGAGTATGTTTATATATTATTAAATGCATATTGTGTTAATATAATTACCGGTTCTCCGTGACTCATGTCGTGCACCTGGGCGTGGGAAACTTTCGGTTCGGAATCGTGGTCGTGATGTTGCACGGCTGGGGCTTGTGCGGCGTTTTGGTCCGGTTTAATCACTGTGGATGATTGTTGCTGTTTGGGCTGAGGTTGCTGCTGCTGCTGCTGGGCCGAGTGTTGCTGTCGGGGCTCATTGTTTCCATTCGGGTCGAAATCGGCAGTCGTCTCTACTTGAAGCTTGGCCTCCTTCGATTCTACCAACTCGTGCTGTTGTTTGCGTTTCATCTCGGCAGGATATCTAGCACGCGATTTATCTGCAACGACACAAAACGAAAACGCGTCTTAGGATGAACGACAAAATAACTTAACATTTGGCATTGCGGAAACGTAACATGTATTATTAACGGTTTATAACCACAGTTTATAACTTATAACGATCACTTGGATTGATATTATTTGTATGTATGATACATATTTCTTAAATCGTGTTATATGTACATGAATCGATTTCATCCCAGGACATTGTTCATCGAAATTGTAATATATTCTTAATTGCTACTTAATAGGAAGAGGAAAATATAAGCGGTTAAGTATTTACTTTAAATTATGCATAATGTGTATATTAATTAACATGTATATTTAATTAAAATAATTCTGTAAAATTCAGCCTATAACTTAGTTATCGAGAGATATCCAAATCAAAAAAATTATAAAATAATGTATTTTAATGAATATTTTTCAACTTTGAGAGTATCAATGTATAGGTGTAGTTAATCAGTTTCATTATTACCGAAATAGATGACTGAATAAATGGAATGCGATCCAAATAGAATAATTATATCAACGGTAAAATTAATTGATGGGATTACTGATTGATTGTGCTAAAAATCATTGTTAAAGTTTTCATAGGAATTGTGCCACGGGAAATAATAATAATTATTATTCGTATCTTGTCATCGGTTGTATAAAACTTTATATAAAAGTTTTTGGCTAAAATGTACCTTCTTGAGTAGTCGAAAGTTCCTCCTTATATTTGTCCAGAATACTGGCTTCTGCGTCCCGAGTCATGGCCAATAACGATCCCGGAGTATCGTCTTTGCTGCGGAGGGCTTGGATATAGTCCGACATCAGTTGGGAGATTTTGCGTGACAACGTTGGGTATCTGCGAAGAAAAGAAATGCGATTTGAACGAAAAGCGATTTCGTTGTGATACATTTTACGAATAATTATTAGCATAATATATTCATTACAAGCACTCGTACATACCTGTAAAGCATCTGTAGCGATTGATTGACCATGTGATCGATGTCCACCAAATGTTCCAAAGTAACCGATTTTTCGCGTTCGGCCAATTCGATGCTGGACGCCAGCAAGTGTCGATAATGCGCTATTGTGTGATGACGGTCCTTGTGCAACGATCTAAGTAGTTTCTGAAGACATTTCTGCACTTTGTGTGTCTGAAAATTGAGAAAATAACAGTGTATATAGTTTATATATCCATAAGAGCTGAGAACGTTTTCACAAATATTTGCGAACGGTAGTGACATTGACGACAAACACGTTAAACACATGAAGCGTACACGCGGGAGAAGTTTCATTAGGAAATAGTCAAGTCGAACTCCACCAACAAGCGTTCGAGATCAAAATTTAGATAGCAGTAAAAGATACTACGTTTTACCGAACTAAAATGAGTTTCTAGTGTAAACAATTAGAGAAAAAATGTTAAATAAATGTTTATAATGTGTTCGTATAGCACGCGTAAATGATGTATACTCACATTAGGAGGATTTTCGTTGAGTGCGAAAACGTAGCAATTCATGGCTTCCTTCTTCCTGTGATTAATATGAGCGTTCACTCTCTGCTGGTGCATGGCAAACAGTTGATGTTTTTCCGCCGAGCCTTCTTCTTCCAAGGATTGTACGGTTTGCTGGAAACGAAGCGTCATGCGTTGTTTAAACTCTTCAGCCATGTGCGGGTCCTTGGAACGCATTTCCTGGTACCGTTCTTCCAAGTCAGACCAGTCCTTCATCACCTTGGTCACCTTCTCGCGGTGCAATTCCTCTAGCCGATTCAGAGCCTCTTTGTACAGTTTGTGCTCGTCTCTGGGATCGAAATGCGTGAAGTACGTGTCCGGGGTAGGTAAGTTTCTGACTGGACCGGAGGGTGTTGTGTGAGAGCTTTCGGTTGTAGTCGGTGGTGTGAATGTGGTCGACGTAGTGGTGGTAGTAGTCTCTTTCCTTGTGGTCGTCGGCACGGTCGAGGTGGTAGTGGTCGAACTCGATGTCGATGAAGTGCGAGATGGTGGCACGTCGTCATAGTTGTCGTAATCATCGTCATCATCTTCCTCGTCGTTTACGTCGTCATCATCATCTTCATCATCGTCATCATCATCGATGTCTTCTTCTACGTCAAATTGATCCGTCGAGAGAAGACTGTCCGCAGCAATTGGCGCGGTTTTCTTCAATTGGATTTTATCTATACAAAAACAGTCATGTTATTGTAGACGACGTTGTTTTCGAAAAAAATTTTTGGGTCAAATATTTATCGCCCGTTATTTTAAAAACAAATTGTATACATAAATTATGTCTTAGTAGTGTGCATAAGTTAGGAAATAAATAGGAACAGTATTTAAAAGTTAGTATAATTTCTTAAAAATTATCGTAAAATAACAATAGCAATGTAATTTAACTAAGTACTTTAAATTATACACTTAAACCATAAAACGTTCAAGTAGTTAAGTTGAAAAAAATGATGGTGTGCTATATATGTATACTTGTGTTTTTAAAATGAATCATGTTATACGCATTTTATGATACTTGTACAATCCATTAGAGAATACTTTAAGCAAATAATAGTTTTAATATGTTATAAAACATTAATTTGTTAATTTCAAATATTCACCACTAAGTGATTAAAAAAAAAAAAAATATATTTATGGTTAATAATGATTCCGTGTATAAAAAACTTTGTACTTTTCTCTTTCGAAAATTAACAAGAAAAGGATGATTATTTTAATTATTTTATTATTAAGTATGAAATTGAAAAATATTGATCTTTTTAAAAACGCTGCCCAGCATTATACCTATATATAAACAAGAACATAATCTATTTGCTTAATCATGGTATGACAGACAATGTAAATAATATCGGTTGTCACACTGCGAAGGCCGGTTTCAATCAAACTACGCAATAACCACGGGACTGCAATTATTACCATCGTAATATAACGTAATAATAGGTGCAAATATCCACGTATTACAACTGTGCGTGCTAATCATTTATAAATAATATCAAATGTATATTCTATGCTTACCTTTGTAGGGACAGCAGACGAATTCCACGCCGGAGAATAGGGATATGCCGCAGGGCAACAGCATGGCAAAGCTTCGCAGATTGTGGTCTCGGTCCTGGCAGGCTTGGGCAGCTGTCTGGTTCCAGCGATCAAATGGCCAGCATTTGCTTTGATTGTGCACATGATCAAATATACAGTTCTCGGGTACCAGTAGAGCGTCGCTCTGGAATTGTCCTTCTACAAGCGCACAAATGACATGAAACTTTCGTGATTGTCGTTTATTTACTTTTTCAGACTGTTTATAATCCCAAGAACAATGAAATCAGCAAACAAACAACCGATCAACTTTGTGCCCATATACACAACACATATACATAAACAGAACGAACTTTCAACGAACGCATAGGAAATTCGAAGGAATCAATTTACTACCAAGGTTGTTTGTTTGATGTCCGGTGAAATCTTTACACCCAAGGATACAAAATTACACTACCATTGGCTTCGCTCGGTTTACCAATCACGTTTTGAACAAAGTAACTGCGAGCAGTTCAATACGATTATAGCGTTTCAAGAGTGATAAATTAAAAACAAACAGTTGAAAAGTCGTATATTGGAATAATATATAAATATACATAGTTAAATCAAAATCTGAATTCATTAAAAACTGGAGTATTTACAAGCGATTAATATAAACGTGAGAGTTAGTTTGCATTTGAACGAACTATAGATTTTAATTACAAGTATTTCTACCGAATAATGATTTTTTTTTGTACTGCGCTGTTGAAAGCGAAATAAAAACTGTGAATAAGTAAAAGCGGTATCGGAATCAATGCAAAAAAAAAAGTAATTAATATTTACTTCATAATTGAAAAAAATAATTTTAAACAATCTTTGAAGGTGTAAATTTCATTTCAGTAATTAATTATTTAATCAATTAATTAAATTTCTTTTTTATTTAATAATTTATTAAACGTGGTGGTAGAATATTTTATTTACTTGTCAAAAGTGCATTTATTATAGTGTAAAAACACGGAATTCAATGAACGTATTTTTTACAAACATTATATTATATCTACCCACATCTCTGCTTCATCTGATGATTGTTCAGTATTCATCACTATTGACATTGTTCGTATCACAAGAATAATTCATAGACATTACATACATATTGAACAATGTCTTATACTCTGTACACATAGTAAGCGCTAGTATAAGCACGGATATTTTTGTAATTTTCTTAAATTTATTAGAAACACGATCGCATGTAATAATATAGTATATAGTATATTAACAAAAATCGACCGTGCATATCCTTCTTCTATTTTAAGTGATTTGAAACATAATGTAATTATTTATGTTTAATTTAATCGGAACAAATATAGTCGTGAAATGAGATAACTTGCGTAATCTATTGATGACCCAAGTATTGGAAACAATCGTGTGATAATTTATCGAACAAAGCCCGGAGCAAATAGTAATTACTCGATAATGCTTTTATGTGTATATAAAATATTCATGCAGGTACGAGATTTTTTAACAGTGATTGGTTTATTTATCTGACGCTAAGCACAAAACGGATTACGCGTGGGGAACAATTACGTTAAAAATTACAACAAATATGACTCGTTTAAAATGCACCCAAGAGCCTAAATAATACATCGCGATTACGATGCAACATCGAGAGCAAAAACAACCGTTAAAAAGGGCGAAGCCGAGGGAGATAGGTAATACGTGTTTATAAGCGTGATAAACTTATCACATATATATTACATATATTTATATATTTATCATACACGCAAATGTGATTTTGTTATTATTATCGTCACTTCTCGCCGACTTAGTCACAACGCGATATTGTAATACATAACGTTCGGGAGGATTATATTATACATTGTATCATTCGTCTTCCTTCTGATTTATCTTTGGTTATAACCCTTTATCGTAGAAATAGTTCCCCATCTCCTTAAAACATTGACGACCGAATGGACGAACAAACTCCAAAACAAATGACTTTACACTGAAGAAATCACAACGAGCTTGTAATAACATTATGACTGATAGCACGTTGTTCGGGCGGTTTGAATGGGTTCTACCGAGTATTATTATTTTTTTTTTTATTAAAAAACGTTTCGAAAAAATGTAAACGTTAAGCCAAAAAACTCTCTAAATAAATTATACGCATCGGTGGCGAGCGAGGCCGACGCGAGACTTGCTATTCTCAAAATGTAAACTGGGCGAAAGAAAATTTTTTCATGATTTGTAATCCGTCGATTTCAAAACGAATAGAGTTTCTCTCGTATTTCTTGTTTTTTCCCGAGTTTAGAATAAAATAAGCCCGTATAAATTGATAAAAAGAAATCATATTTCATGAGGTAAAAAATAAATAAAAATTTGTAGGATATAATAACGTAGTAAAAAAATATGTTTAAATACGATTTCGGAACTCCTCCATTTTGTGACGATAGAGTATGATAATTATTAAACTAACTAAAGGAAATACGATATTTTTTTACATTATTTCGAAACGAATAAATAAGTTTCCAAAAAAAAATCTCAAATGTTGGCAACAACGCTTTCCCCTTTTTACCATTGGGTGTATCAACTTTTGCACTCATCCCATATAAGACGAAACACTACGATCACCGTGTTCTACATGCGTCGTACGTCAAAAATTGTTTTCTTTTCTCATTACACGACACGTATTTTCACGACACTCGATATGAGTATTGACGTCTACACCGATAACATCTAACTATACGACGGGTACGAGGAAAAGACGGGTTAACTCTGTACGTCGCCCTCTCATCTAATCTCGTTCACCCGCTCGAGTACTGTTCGAATCGGCGCATCAATCATATTGTTGTATGCGCGTGCGGTAACAGTAGTATCTCGGAAGAACAGTATAGAAGTGGCGTTTCTGTCCCCGCTCGATAGTAAGATAATATTATGTGTCTTATAGCGCTACCGGATTAAATTGTTATTCACAGCCGTCGTTACCGAGCAGGGCGTTTATCTTGACGGCGACGACTGACAAACGTTGGATACGCCGTAAAGGATATCATTGGAGGACGAGTAAGCAGACCGCCGTGGCGAGAGCTTTTTTTTTTTATAGACACTACTTGTCTCCGACCCTTTCAATAATAGCGTGTAATATAATACACAATATAGCTATCACCTCGCCCACGCGTGATTGACGACGACAACGACTTGGCGCGTGAGTTTATAGGTTTTTTTTGTTCTTACATCGTTTACATGCACATGTATTGTTAATATGTACGCGGAAAATGTATGTATATGTTATGTAAGATAACGATGTATTATTCTGGTTCGATTAAACTGCGAACGAATATGTGTTTCGACTCGGCGGCGACTGACTTGGCACGCGGTATACGAAAGCAAAGACGCGAGCGATACGTGTCCGGGGGCTGTTGGTGAGGGGATCGTATGGACTGGAAGGAGGGGTGGATTGGAAGAGCATGCGCACAATGTATCGTCTCTGCGTGTGTATTTTTTAATTTTGAGAAAACAAAAAACACGAATGGAGCGAACATATATTAATATTATTTATATACGTTTTATATATGCATATAAATAAATTCAGAAGGAATATTTATATGTATGATAAAACAGCAGTGGGGGTTGATATGGTGAGCAGATTTATTTGGGATTCGCAAAAGCGTTGCAACCGTGGTAAATAATAACGGTTTGTCCGGGGGCGCGAGTTAAATCAAGCCAGCGAATGTGCACTCGCGCACGGTCGGAGGTCGAGAGAGCCGTTGTCGTAAATAAACTAATATATAATATTATAGCATTAGCATACACACATGTATAAATATACACGTCCGATTACACAGTTATATACGTACACACGTACTTCACAAATATGGCGTTACAGTCAACTGCAGGTGACGGAGATATTAGGTGTATGTGTCCGAACTTTATCAATTCCACAAAAGTATACTTGAATCTCTGTTCGACCTACTGGACCATTATTGTGGCAACGGTGTGGATATGAATATAAATCCAAAAATATTCAACGTGGCTATTTATTTAAAGATATTTAGTTGAAATAATTTAACTATATAATGTATGTTGTATTGAACTGTAGGTTGAATTTTTAGATATTTAGATAGTATATTGTGCAATAATTGTTTGAGACTTTGATTTATTTTTTCGATTAACAGCTCGGATGAGTTTATCAGTTTTCAGATGTTATGTGACAGTAAAATGCTACTTTTGACTTTAATTTCACATACTTGACAAAAAAATAATTTCCCGTCAGTTGTAAAAATATTTAATCCAAATTTCAAATTTTCATTTGAAAACATTCAAATGTATATAAATCCGAGTCCTGGTCATAAATAAGTTCAAACCAAACAATTATTTCCATAATTTTTATTTCTATTGTATAACTGACGAACACCAACAAAAGTTTGGTTAAAATACCGACTCTTCTGCGTACAAGCGGATCGCTGAGAGCATTATACGGTGTTGGATAGCGCGTAATTTTATTTGGGTAGAACTCGTTTATCGTTTGGATAATATAAATATTTTAGTGTAATAACTTATTGTAATCGTTATGGACGTTATAGTGGTTATTGGTTGTACAAAGCTTGAAGATTCTATAGTGCTGAGTACTGGGGACAAGCTGAACGCGAAAATTTATTGAAATCAGATTATGTAATGTTTGTGTCGAGTGTTGTTGTACATACGAAGAGTAAGGCGATTGACGAGCTTTTAAGCCTTGTGGATTATCCCCTCAACAGTCTATTGTTTTTTAATTATAATTTTAAAGGCGTTGTTGATATATATCTATATGAAAAGGTAAATCACAATTGTTTACATGCGCATAAAAATGAGTTAATAAATTCTCTGTTTAGCAATGATTATTCAACGGATATTTTGCAAACGCGTGTCCCTCAGATACTGTGGAGATTCAACTATGAATTTGTCATTTTCATGTCAGCGTTGTAGAGGATGAATATTGATTTTATTTACATTTTTTTCCATCGTTGTTTCTAGTGAGAAGTTTTAATATAGAGCATAAATTATTCCACGTCAAAAATATTATACACCTTGCGGTGGTATTGTTTAATTTCAAAACGTGCCCGGGCTCAATATATACACACTTAATTGCTAATAATATTGTTGAACCACACGCTTTTTCCCTCTGGGGCCTGCTGTTTGTCCTTAACGTTGTCACTAATTCAACTAAAGGAAATTAACTAATCGCATAATGGTGTTTTTTTTTTAGGTTTTAAGAAAAGGGGAAGAATTAGAATGTTATTAAAAATGTAACAAAAAAAAATAAATAATTTTACTTTATATTTTGCTTGGTATCTTTACACGGGTATTTGGTTTCATAGAAAAATAGTGTCAAAAACATTTTAACGAATTTAACCGTATTTATGTTACGATAAACTGTCACCATGCGTGATTTTAGCAAAAATATCATTTTCATAATCACTTTTTCTCTAAAATCGTTAGTCGATTTCAAACGACACTGCATTTGCCAAGCAATTATTGAAAAAATAAAATGTCACGATTGACTTTAACAGTATGCATAATTTTTGAATTCAACTAATATTAAAATTTTAATTATTATTCTCTTGTATCTTGAACTTACATCTAAATTTTTTATTTTTCAAAAAGCTGCTCAAGAGATAAATTATACGCTTTAAGTACGTTTTATGAAAATATTTTGCTTCGATAATTTAAGTTAAAAATAATATGGATAAAGACGTATTGCGAAATGAAATTATGATAGAAAGAGGAACTATTTGAAGAAATGAGATAAAAGGCAAAAACGGCGAAATACCTGAGCGGTTTGTATCACTTGAAGATGGTAATTCAATAATAATTACTTCAAATACAGAACAGACTGACCTATATTCGCTCAATCATGATCCAGTGTACAAATGTGTATACTAGTTATAATTAAATGATGGATTTAATATTTCAGATTGAACTGCTGCAGCGTTATTATATTTATAAACAAAAACGAGCAGTTAATATTAATTCTATTGTTTAATATAATCACTCAGTTGGATTTAATTATGTTTTACCGCAAAAGCGTTGAGGTCGTCGGTCTCGATCAGAAAGCATACTTCCCTTCCCGCGGTAATCTCGTTGACCACTATTATTATTATTATTATTATTATTATTATTATTATGACAATATTAATGATCTCGTTCGCTTTTCGTTGCAAATTTTATATGTTTATATAGATATATTATGTAATAGATGTCTATTGACTTTAAACGTGATGTGCATTTCGGAACGACGCAAAACATACCTACAGTCGGTCGACCCTTATAACAATATAATACAATGGGTCTTCCTAGTAGCGATATAATAATCTATACAATTGAAATAATAATATATTATCGACTTGTACAGAACGATACTATGTTATAGGTAGATGGGCAATACGACTCGACTGACGAGTCTCAACCAAGACCGTAGCGTGAGCAGACGACGCGTACTCAAGTGTGTTATTATTCTTCTTATTATTATTTAATATCCAGACAGCCGTGCACGGTTTAAAGGGTTAACTTCGCGGGATCGATTCGATGGTTGCTGCTCTACGGCCCCCGAGAGCATTCGAAAATCTATTCGGTCGCATGCACCTATGTATTGTTCATCCTGATGAGTGAGAGCTCATTAAAAAGTTTAAGGATGACTAGATCGACGGACGTTGCGGTATGGTACGTTGCAATTGTCAAGTTTGTAACGATATTATAACGTGAAACGCTGTACGCGTACAGACCGGATGAACCGCGGGCGATCGTGTAAGCCGGCGATTTGTTACTTTAGAGCATAGATTCTTAACGTTTTCTTAGTCATGGACCCCTTTAAAGCGTAAAATAAAATCACGGACCCCCTTGCAAAAAAAAAAATATATGTATAGGTAAATAAATATAATTTTTATTATACGGCAACAGTTCAACAGAAGTGATAGGTTTCAGTGTTAAATTGAACTGCTCGTTAGATTGTATTGTCATGTTATATTATTTTACAATTACGATAGATTTTTAAGGCATATAAGATTATTGTAATCTAAGTTTTATATTTAAAAACATTGTTGTCTTTCAAATGGCTTTCGAATGTTTTAACAATCATAATTATTTTAAAAATACTATCAAAACAAATTTATTTTGGCTTATTCAAAAAAACTCAGAGCCACCCCGTGGACCACCGAGTAGTCATCTACGGACCCCCAAAGGGTCCATGGACCTCGGGTTAAGAACTTATGCTTTAGAGTAAAAAACATTTATTATTAATTTATTATTAAGTATAAATTTACTCCATTCACAGTCGATTTCCAGCGAACGCATTACGTTCGTTTAGGGTCGCGGTTAGATTCTGCAGTTCTAGTCGGTTCGTACCAGTTTTTCGGTGGATTTCGTCTAAATTATATTTATTAAACTTTTTTTCGCGTAAATCGCTTAAACGACGTGCACAAATTGCTATGACCGAACTATCCGTACCATCGAAAATTTCTTGTGGAAAAATATAATCCGAAGAGATATACGTTGTTCTTGTTTCTTCGCTAGAACATATTTCATTGAAATAGTAGTACGTGTTACGTAAGTTTCGTCCAAAATGACGTTCATAATAAAATTCGTAATCGAAATCTATTTGTCGAGATAAATTAAAAACAAATAAAATACGTGCAAAGGGACTTAGAATGTCATTTTTGAAGTGTCGAACATTTTAAGTCATCTCGATTCGGCTATATATTAATATATATATATATATATATATGTGTGTGTGTGGATGTTTATTATAGTATTTTATTGTGTATATTATTATAATTATATTAGAACGGGCATCTCGAGTAATTGTATTTTTGACTTGAAAATCGTTCGAACTGTACCGAATCACAGTAAACGCAATAAAATATATGTGTATAATATATATATATATATAATATACATATTATACACAATACACAAAAATACAATGATAGAGATGAGAATGAGGGTCAATAATATTCTGACAGTTGAAATGACAAAAACAAAATCAATGGTTTTCGCTAATATAATAACGTGTTTCTCTTCTCTTTCATAGTATCCGTATTATTATTATACAATGTCTGTATACGAGCATTTAATTTTTTTTTTATTAATTATTATTTTTACATTTTTATTATTTTGATCTGTAATTTTCAGTTTACCGTGCTGAATGCCTGAGCGCCTTATAGGAAAGCCTTTGTAAAGGTACTCAGATGCAGCCAATCAGTAAGCCTTCAAAATACTCGGTGTAATTGTAAGTCAAGACAAGAAACGGTGGCGTGCGAGAGAGCTAATCAATCACGGGAATAAGAGACGAGAGCCGTATAAAAGACTGTGTAAATCGACGGGCTTGGGTGTCGACGGGCGTGGATGGAGAAGGTCTGTGCCAGGGGGAGATTTACAGACGAGCGAAATGATGGCCAAATAAAAACGGCAATAGCAGTTTAATCTCGTACCGGTCGAAGGGTTTGCGATAAATAAACCTTCGTAAACACTTACCAAGACATCTGTATGGTTTCACCCAGTCCGTGTGCTTACATTTGTTGTATCCCATTTTGCACCAGTTACCAATTTTTACGTAATGGCTGGACTCCACGATGTTAGTAATGTCGTTCTTTGGGTACACCTATAACACGATGAATGCGGTTTTAGACCTGTCGTTTTATTTTATTTTTTCCATTTCATTTAAACAATTGCAAACTGTACCTGTACTTTCTCAAAGCCTGGTGGTTTTTTTTTTTTTTTTTTTGTAACATTAACCGCGTTTTAATTTATCACACACCTCTACATACAGGTTTATTGTTATTGATTTAATTGAAAGTTTTTGTCCGTGCGTACCTCTCGTATCTTTTACCCCTATATATTTTCAACGAAACTATATATAAACGTATTTGATCGTATAGAACAATGAGTGATTTTTTATGGGATGGTAAAATATTTTACGTCTTTGAAATCTATTAATGGGGAGGAAATTTAATGCATATACAGTGTTTCATAGATAAATTATTTTCTAGAAGTTGTAAAAAAAAGTTAGAAATACTAGAACATCAACGAAAAATCAAATACATTCGTTGCAAAATAATCTATAAGCCGAAAAATTATTGTGATTAAGATTTCAAATGTTCTATTATACCTACATTATTTATTTCGATTATTTCGACACAGTCACATTATACTAAACTCATGATATCATTTTTTAAAGAATACCAGAAAATGGTTTATTTCGGTTGAATATATAATTTTTGATTTCAGCACTAGTATAATAATTATTCTAATGCACACTGTCTCTACTTTTTATACACACTCAATCTTTTTAATACAAAATAAATGAATCTGGAATTATATCACACACAGTATTCCATTCAAAATCGTTTTTCAATACAATTTATCACCGCATTCGAATTTAAACACACTCCTCGCCTCGTCTCTAGCTTTTCTCTCGTTCCGTTCTTACTCATGTATATTTCTTCGATATCTCTTGTACGTCATCCATCTTCCGTAACGGGTCAGGTTTTCCAAGCCCGTGCACAAAAATATCATCGATGATATGCACTGCGGTCGTCGTCGCGAACACACGATCATCATCATATTATGCCACTGTGTACATTAGGTATCTACACTAGGTATCTTACGAAAATATCTGTGCGATATGCTTATTTTTTTACAATAGTCCAAAATGTCCACTTTCTCCTTTAAACAGCCGACTTTGCGTTTCGTGTCGGACGTCCACCGACCGTTTTCCGACATGTACTGGCTGTAGTACGGTGTGTCCGATTTCGCATCACACAGCACTGCCACCTGAGGTTCGAAGTGCACTGGTGCAGGTCCATCAGCGCCAATACCCTGTGTATTACACGAAAAAACGTCATTAGTCTTACTGTACATGCATTTATAAGCTTAACGTACTATGTTATAAAGTTCCTTGGTACTCAAGTCGAGTGGGAAAAAGGGAAGATAATATTTCCAATATTTAATTAAACGTAAAATTCTTAACGCCGCACTACGTACGAGTATAAGGGCCTATTTTAATATTTATCCGATACGCTGTTGGATAGTTGGGTGCAGGATAAAAACGTGAGTACATATGGCCGGTGAAATACTCGTATGCTATATTTTGCGTATCATATATAAAATATTTGCGATATTTTCATTATTGTTTTCATTACATGGCAAAAAATCATTTAACATACACGTCATACCATACAATAGCTTAGCGTTAACCATTTTTTTTTTGATCTATTATAATTCAAAGAATAAATTAATAACATTGTTATGCTACACAAATGCGCATACTTAAACGTTCTAATACTTAGTTGTAAATTATTGAGACATCCATACAACGAAGTCCTAGGAAAAAAATCCGGCTACAACATCAGTTTTAATCGACAAATGTATACATTTGAGAGCACGTTAATTTTTTTTTTTTTTTTTTGTGTTTGCGAAATCCGCTTTATTTGAAACACGGCCACGGTATGCACACCAGTAGGACGACGTGTAGATGGTGGACATCGCAATGCACGTCTTCGCTTAAACATTCGATGCGCGAAGTACAAATACAATATGACATCAACTGGTTATAACGAGAGCTTAAATTGTCAACGGCATGTTCGCATAAAAAGCGAACGGCGACAATGCAAACACAGCGTGACGTCTTACGACACGTGTATGAGATATTATAACGAAACAGCAAACGACAAGCGAAAGAAGCGGGCACGGCGAGGATTATGGAAGGAAAGAATGAGAAATAAAAGGTGAAAACGACTCGCGTGGTGGTGACATTAATGGAAACGCGCTGTGAAATATTATATCGGAACGGCGGTGTTGGGGACGACAACAAGTATAAAATATGAGAGGACAGCGAAGGGTGGGTAACGATTTACCGTGTCGCGCAATTACATTTGCGATCGTTGCTCGAAACGAAGAGATTCGACGGTTATAATTATTGTCATCGGAACAGAGTCTATAACCTGCGCGGTGTTTACACTATATATTATATCAGCAGTTTTCAGGCGGTTTTTCGTACATGGAACTCTTCAAACTCTTAAAATGAGGCTCAAAAATTAGAAATGCCAATTATTTTAAACCACAAAAATTATTTGCTTTTTAATTTGTTTTTTTTGTAGTTTTTATACGTCGTTTAACAAAAAAATATTTCGTGATATACATATAATAAATAATTAATCAGATAATTATACGTCTAGGTTTTAACGTGAGCAATGATATATATATATATATATATATATATATATTTATTCATACCATGTTATACCCCGTTATTATTATTTTTTTTTTTGTTCGTAAGATCATGGTCTTAAAACAATACATGAAACAGATCAACAGAATATGTGCGCGTGACGCAATTTAACGTTAACACGTCGAAATCTAAATAATAAATATTATTTTAAAGTCTTATCGAAGCTTATTTGAAGCAAATTATTTCTTACGAACGAGGAAAAATAATATGAAGAAAATTGGCATTGTGCGACCGCATTTTTCCTTTTAGCTCTCGGTTTGACAAGTGTATATATAATAATGCACAGCGAGAGTTCACGCGACGGGTAGATTGGTGGTAGGTACGGGTAGAGAGGGAGGAAAACCATCGCTCAATAAACTTTTAACAATATAAAGTATTATATAACTGACAACCCGTGGCTGCAGGAAACCGATGAAATACCGAGGAATAAATCTATTGACTTCAGAGTGCCGTCCAAGGCTTTGAACCGAGATTAATTTTTCGAGTGTCAAGAAATATAGGCGTCGTTTTAAGCTGTTTGTTATATTTATTAAGTTTTTTTTTAGTGCGCACGATGTTTAAGGTTATAAACATAAATATTTATTTTTTATTGAATAGTGTTGTACGACAGGACAACAATGAGGGGATTTATAAAGCGCTCTAATTCGCAGTACATAATATATTATTATGTTGTTATTAGTATATCGGTAATTATTTCCGGCTCGGAGGCGTAAAACCAATTTGGGATTTATACGACCGACCGAAAGCGCTTTCAGGTCTAGTGGTGCTTTTTTGCATTGCAGTGTGGTCGTCTTTGCAGACGGTACACGCAGTGGCGTAGCCAGGATTTTTAAATGGGGGGGCTGACTACTTTTTTTGAATAAGTAAGGTAAGAGAGGATATGAGAATTCACCCTTAACCCCCCCCCCCCCCCCTACCATCTACCACCAAGTTTCTAAACGTAATTCAAGCATTTTAGTATAGTTTTAAAAATATTTATTAATATATAATTTATAATAATAATAATAATTTTGGTTTCAGTGTTCAGTCACTTGCTCCACTCTGACAGCTGCATTCTCTTAGGCGATTTTCTGGCAAATTCTGTTATTATTTTACTTTCATCGAATTGCTCTTTTTTATTTATATTAGCCATAGCTAACCCATTCAGTCTGTTTTCCGACATGGTGCTTCTTAAAAAATTTTTTAAGCGATTAAGTGCTGAAAACGTTCTTTCCGGAGTGAAAGAGGTAACTGGTAACGCGGTGAATAATTGTAAAAGTATTTTAATGTTAGGTCGAAGATTGGTGCGATGAGAGAGTGAATCAAGAGCAGAATTCGGTTTTGGAATAGTATTTTGACTCCATTGTTGCCTCCATATGAACAGGTCAGCTCTGATTGTAGATGAGGTATCATCATGGAGATCTTGGACATATATTTTAGCAGATTTTATAATATTTTCATCGTCATACATATTTAAATTGGCCGGAATAAGTCCTTCAAGTGGCATAACATCAATATGCCTTTGATTAAAACGAGCATTGATTCTATTAAATAGTCAAGATACATTATACATATAAACACGGTCCATGGGGAAGGCTATAGCCCCCATAGCCCCACCCCCCCTTTGGCTACACCACTGGGTACACGCCGGCGCTAGGTTGGGCTATTTTTTCACGGTTCGTATAGCCGTCTAAAACAACTGAAATTCTGTTTATTCGGTGGCATCGTTTTTACCAAGTGGCGCGCTTTTGAGGGTTCTTATAGACCGCGGGTCTGGAGTGGAGGCGGACGTTTTTCGCCGATATTTCAATAAAATGAAAAGAAATGATAAACACAAGACAATTCGTTTGAATCTCGGGTCAAATGCTGCGGTTGGTATAATTATACGTATGTATACGACACACTTTGAGACGGATATTAGAAGACATTGTTATTTAATGTTATCACATGTTCAATGTTATGTAAATATTGCACCATATTATTATATATTTTTATAGATACTATTACCGTCGATACTATACCGTTTTTATAATTGGTAATATTAATACCGTAGTATACCGACGAAAATATACGTTCAACGTGCCAACCGTGAAGTCTTTTAGGACGAACTATCGTCGTGAAACTTATAAATTATACTTATTGTTATTATTTTTTTCAATTCAAGGCTCGCCAAATACATTTATATATTTTCCTCAAGTGTACACATTCCGAACAATTGAATTTTATAATAACCACAAACGACTCCTGAAACGTACGTGATCGATATACTTAATATATAAACACATTAGTACGAATGCAGACGTGATGCTTTATAATAACTAGTTTATACTGCAGCAGCTCCGTGGGTTTTTGTGGTGAATATCATATTTGGTTAAACTGTATTGTTATTTTTAAATACACAATACTCATTTGGAATATTAATAATTAGAAACGTTTTAATTCAACTTCGGAATATTGAATATATTTACTTGCGGAGAAGGGGGAGGGGGAGGGCGTATATATATTTGTTTAGTTTCTAATATTTTTTATTTTGTGAATTCGTATTCCCAAATTATATCACTGTCAAATAGTATACTCGTACATACGTTAATTAACCTTCAGAAAAAAAAAATTAATATTTCAAAAAAGCAACGCTTTGTTCATTGTTTGGATATCGTATTTCAATGGACTACAAAATACACGTCATTATCATATAATATTATTATAAGTTATCGATATTAATTATAAAATATGGTAATTTTATTATATTTTTCTAAGTAGACGGAGTATTCGAGTTAAAATGTTTTGTAATCTATAACCATATTTTTTAACTCATATTAACGTTTGGTTAACGATTAATTTAGGATTCTAACCTCTATTGAGTTGAATAACTTTATATACGTACTTGATGATAGTTTTTTGGATAGGTTTTGAACAGGCATGTATTTATAGTGAAGTGAGGTGGATGGAAGGTTATTTGTCTACAAAACTGCTATTATAATTTGTAATGAAAAAAAATGCGCACTATCGTTGATCGGTACTATGGTTATGCGAATAACTAATAATAATTAGTAAGTAGACACTGCGAAATGTATAGCATAATATCTGGCGTTCGCTAACAATATATAATATAATTTGTAGAGTAAGCGCTATTTCTCGTAATGGTATAAAAGGTACGATCTGTAATTATAAAACTAAGACGCATAAAATGACTTATGCCTGTGGAAGTTACATTATATATATACGAGGAGTAACACGGATTGGAAACTTTAGCTGTTACAACGACGTCGCATTAACGGCTCGATACCGACCGGGTTGGTGTCGTTGGCGGGTGGGTGTGGTTATAATAGCCCATCCGTCCGAAACGCGTTTCTAACGACCTTAACCTTCTAGCTTATTTATTGTTTTCCCTATAAGAGTACACGGTTTTCTGTGACGGCAACGCTGTATGGAAACGACGTGTGCAAATGTATACCATCAGTTCGCAGTATTCCGCGAGAGAAATCTAGACTCCATGTACACATCTGAAGTAAATCAAATTAAAATATCAATAGTTCAAATATGGTGCATATACTCAAGATTGTATATAACTGTTTATAAGCAGACATGCGCATTCAATTTTTTTTCATA